GTTGATTTGCTTTATTTTTGAGACATACATTAGAATTTACTAGCCTGTTCCTAGTGCTCTCAAAAACACGCATCTTTTCCTTCTAACATACTTTATTTACCCTCCTGTGAAAGCAAAAATGCCTTCTGCTCAGCACTTATACTTTAGTATCAYTAAGTTTTCCCAGTCACCAGTTAATTGTTTCCACGTCTACTGAAGGTTATTGGGGGGGCATCCGGAAGTAACAAGTGAGTAAACAAAACAGGATCCTTAACACAACACAAACACCTTAAAAGCCTACAGGGTACATGTGATTAGGTTACAGCTCATTTCCACAACAATCTCAAAATTGTTAAGTAGGCATAAATACAGAGTGTGGGACATGAGAAAGAAGACAGGGTAAGTAACTTCTCAAGATGAGTTTGCTTAAGAAGTAACCTGTGCTTAGCTATGTTATCCAATCTTCTTGAAGCTGTCAGCTGTTCCATAATTAGACAGTTCAGGGTATGTGCCTTTACCTTGATTATTGAACTCTGAGTTTGTTTWTTTCAGGGTGTGGAGAAAGGGTGCTGCTAAGTTCAAAAAGCATCTATGATTCTCTCCACTTAAGACCTATTTATTTATGTTTCTTCCAGACCTTTATTCAGGGGAATAAACAGTGAGTATTTGTATGACTTCCAGAGTTGGGGTTTCATTATTTTTCTGTTGATACTCCTCAGTGGAATACATGTATACTTACTGCAGTCTCCCAGACATAATAGTAAYGAATGTTTTACAAGCTGAAACGTAGCCAAAGAGATCACCATCGCACCTGAAACTCATACAGACAGCTTTACAAAAGGTATTACCTGTGCCTGTCATTGGATTTTCAGAGCATCCACCCTACAGTCTTCAAACCTAAAAAGAAGTCCTTCACAGTCCTACACAGTGTTATGGGTAAATAAGATTCTTGCTTTATAAACTAAATTCAAAGGCTATCAACAAGAAATGGTTGGCCAAATGGTTGTTTTAATGGGGCCAAAAGAACCACAGAACAGCCCAAGTTGAAAGGATCATAAGAGATCACCTATTCCAACCTTTTGCAGGAAAGGGAGCCTGGGTGAGATTATCAAGCATTGCCATTCAGTTGCATCTTGAAAACCACTTGTGATGGGCACTTTATCACATCCCTGGGGAGGTTATTCCAGTGAATCATTACAAAATCAGGTTCATTCTGAATTGTTCTCCTTGAATCATTCTCATTGTAAAAACAGTTGCTTCTTACATAGAGAGCAGCCCTCCCTCACTACAACTGCCTCTTGAGAAAAGAAGGGTCTCAATCCTCTTTGAAGTCATACTTTAAGTTCTGAAAAACTGTGATAAGATCCCTTCTGAAAATTCTATGGGCTGAAAACACCTAACTTTTACAGTTTGTCTTTGCTCAAATGATAGGTTCTCCACATCTTTGACCATTCTTCATGGCATTCCCTTGACCCCTCTTCAGTCCATCTGCATAGGTTTTGAAACTGTGTGGGCTGGAGCTGGGCACACGACTTCCTGTGCAGTCTGACAGGACARGCGCTGATGAAGCGGGATGGTCACACCTCTCCCTGTTAGCAGTGTCCCCATGGATGCAGCTCAGGATCCACTTTCCCTCATTTGCTGCAGCAGTGCCCTGCTGAGCTGTTGTCTGTGAGTTGTCTGCCAGGGCCCCTGGGCTCCTCTTGGCAAGGCTGTTCCACAGCTCACGGGTYGTAGCCTGGCTGGACCCTTTGGTTGTGTGGTCCCAGGTGCAGGACTCTGCCCTTCTCTTTGTTGAGCTTTACACAGTTCCTGTGGCTCTCTTTCAGCCTGTCCAGGTCTGTGAAAGGCGGCTCTCCMTGCTGATGTGTCCATCTCAACACCCAGTTTAGTGACACAGCAAAYGCGGTGAGAGTGCTTTCAGTGTCATCATCCAGATCATTCATGGACATGTTACAACATGGAGCCCAGCACTGATCCTGGGGGAGCYCCATTTGTGACAGACTGCCAGCCTTAGTAAAACATACTGATCAGGAGGAAAGGAGCTATTGGGAACCTCTATCTTGTCAGCATTATTAGTAACGTTTTTCTCTGCCCTGTTTAGTAATGGGTCTGTGTGTTCCCTGGGCTTCTGCTTAAATGCTTATGTATCTGATCAGCTGTTGCTTCTTCTTGATATCTTTGGCCAATTCCAGATTTAGCTGAGCCTTGACCTTCATGTGTACARCCCTACAAGTCCTAACAAGGATCTTGTAGACCCAGAGAGCATCTGACCACCTTTCTATAAAAGGCGTGCCTCTTTTTTGCTTTTAACAACACTCAAAAGCTCATTGTTAAGCCTAACTTGTCACTTATTCTGCCTTCTTCCTTTCACTTTGTGGGCAATGGACTGTTACTGTTCTTCCAGTAGGATGTTATTTAAAAACTTCTAGCATTCACATGCTGCTTCGCTCTCCACGCATGCTTCCCCATTAAATCCCTCGTATTGGACCTCTGAAAATTCCAAAGTTGGCTTGTCTAAAATCCAGGGCCTTTTGTCCTTCTCCTGATCTTTGGTATGCTCAGCAGGATCTTAAACCCACAATATTGTAGTGATTGCTGCATCTGAGGCTATAATTTGAAGTTACATTGTTTCTTCAGTTTGTGAGCAATAAATCTAGCAATGCATTGTTCCTAATCAACACGATGACCAGCACCTTTGGCAGAATGCAGTCGTGATGTATTCCAAGAATCTCATGGACAACTTGTGCGTTGCTGTACTGATCTTCCAACAAATGCCTGGGTAATGAAAGTCACTGATGACAACCAGGCCCTTTTGGCTCAATACTTGCTTGAAGAGCCAAAATAAGTTTTTGTCAGCCTCGTCATCCTTGTTTGAAGGATGGTATCATACACCTAAAATAAGATCCTCCTTGGTGATGAACCATCTAATCTTCATCCTAAGACRTTTGTTAGACATTTTGTGGTCTCCATAGCTTACCTTCATACACTCAGATTTCTTTTTTAATGAAGTGCAGCTCCACCTCCTCTTCCTGTCTTAGCAAAAGGGTTTGCAGACATTTGTTATGACCTTGCAGTCATGTGAGTCTTTCCACCAAGCTTCTGTGGCTCCTATCACATCATAACTCTCAGACTGGGCATGGACCTGCAGTTCCTCTACTTATTGTCCAGAATTCATGCTTTGGTATAYATGTACTTGAGGTGGTTGGACTTGGCTTTCTTCCTTTGCAAAGTGATGGGAAGCATTCCCCACTACTCTAGTACACCTACATGCTCRGCCATACTTTGCTTATGAGCATGGAGATATCACAGCCCTGGATCCTCCCCACCAAGTTAGTTAAAAGCACAATTCAYTAAGTCAGTCAATCTGCTAGCAAGGTTAGGTTGTATTAGCAATTTTTCTGCTTCCCCTAGCATTCCAGGATTCCTGAGTCCCTCTTTTTTGAACTTTACGATGTTGAACAGATGATTCAGGTCAACACTAGATTAACAATGAGCCAAATTAACACAAGTCTTACAGGAATAGATTGATTTAATGGGCTACTTGAGGTCACCGTTAACTAAGTCAATTCTGCATCTAACTGTCCACTAGTACTTGCTACTGTTTTATTTCAGTGGAGGCAGGATGGACAGCAACTCCCCAGAATGTGCTGGATATTAAATTAGTAGTTATTTACTGGGTACTATACGTACTCAAGCGTTGCTGGCTAATGAGAGGACAAAAAAGTCAGGGGCACAGCCTACAGCAAAACAGGATATGACAAACATGTTTCATCTCGATGTAAGATCAGGCACAAACATGTTTTATCTCAACACAAGAAGAATTTTTCTGGACAAATCACTGGAACAACCTCTGCAGGGATATGGCAGAGTTCCCTTTGCTGGAGGGTTTTAAGCTGCGTTGAAAAAGGGTGCTAGATAATCTTATCTAGACTCTGTTTTCCACCAAAGGTTGAACTGGGTGATCTCTTGAGGCCCCATCATCCTGCACTGTTTTATAATTCTAAAATCTTAGGGATTACCTAAGACAAAAATCAGGTAGCTCTAGGGACAAGAAAAATAAAGAATGCAATGAACTTTATCTAGAAAGGAAACAGCCTTGTCTCTGTGAAACATTTATTAGAAACATGAACAGACTTCCCTGTTTTGATTTTTCATCTCTGGCACAATTCTTGCCATTTAAGTCAAGGGAAAATGTTATTAGGATACTATCAGAATTGTTTATGACTTATGAAAATAAGCCTTTGGAAAAAAAATGCCAAGCTTAACATACCTGCCTCCTGTATTTATACTTACAATTTCAAAACAGCCTAAAAAAATTAGATGCACAAAACTTCATTCAACTGGAACTGGAATTGGGTGCCTACTGGCTTTATGTCTGTGGAAGGTGAGCTATAGATACCAAGAGAACTCTTGAGACACAGGTGATATGAAGACAACAATAGACAGACTTGAGCTTATCTTTCAGCAGTCAGATAAACTGCTCACTAGGAACTGAAACAGCAAAGAAAAGATACATTTTTAATGTATCAGCCACCACAATTGGACAACCCTTCAAAGCAGGAAAGRGGGCCATTAATGTACTACATACTGAGCTCTAGTTCACTTGCTTCAAAATCACTGATGTAAACACAGAACTGTCCTTGCTGAGAAAATTTAATTTCTACATTGTAAAGTATTCAATGTGAAGAGGAAAGGTTTTGTTGTTGATATTGTTATTTTGGATTTGGGGATTTTTAACCTCCAATGGAAAACAACAGAAAAAACCTCCTACCATTAGAGAAAAACTGAAAGGTGTTTTTGGCATACTTCATTATTAATGCAATAGTTAATARGCATACAGATTAGTAAGAAATTTGATTTGGCACATCATATTTATGTAAACTTATGCATACRTGAATGAATGATACCTCAAAAAACCTCTGGATCTTGAAGTCCAGCATATATTTTAGTCACTGACTGAGCCTGAGTTTAAGGAATTAAAGGTGAAAAAGCCCGTAAGAAAAAGTTTGACAACTTACTAAGTAGACATCCAAAACTGAAGCATTATCRTTTTCCATTTCCAGTGTGCTCTGTTCTGAAGTCAGATAGATGGCACTGTCTCCCAACGTGAATGTTGAACTTGAAGGTAACCCTTTACTGCAAAGAGAAGGGAGACTACAATCAACCAAAAATCCAACTTGCAAAGAGCTCAGTTGTAGCTGAAAATTTAAAAGCAAGCTTCTCTATTAAACATAAAAATCTTGAAATACTTGAAAAAAAAAGGAATGTAAAGAAACAAAGATAGATGTGTTTGCAATGGCTAGATAATGAAAAGCTCAGATCTGATTAACATACAGCAACCTCAGATACATACATATTTTATTTTTGCACTTACTAAAATTTTATTAGAAAGTAATGCTATTCCTGRGCTTCAATATTTATTTAAAGAATGAAACTATGTCACATGATTACATTAATTTCAAAATACGTTACTTCCATATTACATGTGGTGTAAATTTTGATAGTATTTTGTAATTCAAAACAGGGAAAAAAAGATGAAGCAATTAGCCACATTGTAACATTACAGCATTAGTAACATTGGACTTTTCCATGCAGACATAGATGCCTTGCCTCCAAAAGTTCCAAAGGAAAAGTGGGAGAACAAGAGTTAATGTAATTAATAGACCTCTGCAAGACGAGATGTTTACAGAGCAGGTGTACTCCATTACTTTATTCATAGATTTATTTTTTTTATTTTCTGCTTTTCAGAAATAATGTGAAATTGCAAATGCATCTACATAGAAATCTTATTTTGTAAAACACTWGGTCCACAAAGCTGAAACACTCAAAGGTGATTTAATAGAATCAGATGCCCATTATTTCATGTCCCCACTAGCTGCCAKAAATTAGGCTCCAGGCTACCTTAAAAACTCAGCTGTCAGTTGTGCAGAAACATATTTTAAAAGTTCTTATCTATTTACGGACAAGGTGAAAAGCAAAAATTTTGAATTACAACTTAGTATGAAAACATGGTTACAGCCATCAGTCTAGATATGACTAATTTCCCCCTCTCTTTGCACTACTTTATTTCAGATGGGATATAACTTCAGAAAGGGCAAAACTAATGTGCAAAGCTCAGAATGAAAAAACTAGCACGTAAAGTTGAGATTCAAATGCTCAACAAAATAATGAATCAATGTCATACTGGAGAAGAGCTTTACATCCACCACATTACAATGTTCCCTTTATTATATAATGTACAAAACATCTTTTCAACAGCAAGACTATTTCCCATGCGCTAAGATGACCCAGGTCCCACTGACTTAGCAGCATTATTCTCACACCTGTAACTTATAATCTATTGAGYAGCATAAAAGAGTAAAAACAAAAATCTTGTCATTAATCTCTTAACAGCAATACACATGCTGTCAGCAGGTGGTAACCAAAGTTCAAATTTCTACAATAGCATCATCATTGCTTCATTTATTGCCAGTTTTAATGCAGACTGGTTTTAATGAGACTGGTAAGGCAAAGAAAAATTGGGGGGATACAGGAGAGAAAAAGTGAAACCCCCACATACAGTGTTTCAGAAAGAACAATTCAGTGGAACACTGAATATAGTTTTAAAGAATATAGTTTTGTAAACTTTTAATATAGTTTCAACACTGTATTGAGTTCTCATTCTCTATTCTTAGGCTGAAAAAGAAAGAAAAACCAAGGGAGAAAAAAAAAAAAAAAAAAAAAAAAAAAAAAAAAGAAAGCACTTCTACAGGTACTTGCTCCCATTCAGTGATGACCAGCCACAAGGGGAATGCTCAACTATGCTCTTGCTCTCCTCTGGCTAAAACATTCTATTTGATCTTGGTTCTTAATTAAGAAAAGTAAAAAAGAAGCAAAAATAATTCCATCACTAGCGAAATGGGAATGCTTTGTTTTTCTTTAAGCCACAATTATGTGTTACTTCAATCATAGTCAAATTTTCTTTCCCATGGGGATTCCCCCAGTGTYTCAGTGCATCTGCTCATAGCATTTAAGCATTCAAGTCTTTTTCCTCCACCCAAATGCTCATTACCATGAAGCTTGCATGAATTTAATTCACTTTGAATCAGATTCAGAGAAATTTGTTTAAGCTTCAGAAGCTAAGAGTAGTGAGTGCACAAACAGAACATTTAGACTTAACACATGAAGGTTTGTTTATGTAGAACACCAGACTGGGGAAAGGGATGTTTCATATTCCTTACAACAAAAACCCCAATGCCTACAAAYAGCTACCACTGGAAAAAAMCAGCAAAATATTTTACTTTTATTTTCTAGGCTCTCTTTGAAGAAGTTGTTCGACAAAAAGTCAAACCGTTGGACATTTTACCTCAAAGTCTGGATGCTTCAGGAAGCTTGACTGAATAAGAGAAAAAAACCCGTAACTCTTGAAAGCTCTCCAAAAGTGATCTCCACCAAGAAGCAACAAAATAAGGCAAACAAAGAATTGAAAAATATACAGATAAGAAGGAAGAAGAAAGAAACTACATATACATCTTAGAGAAATGAGGTATAGAATGCATAAAATGAAAAAATAATTAAGATTTCACATAGATTTTTTTTCCACTAGGCTCAGATGTATCAGAAGGAGTCAGCAGTCCTCCTAATAGAGCCCCCTGTATCTTGCCATTACTCTTAAGACATAAGTCCCTTTACATCATGAGCTTTTGTTTGGRTTTGGACCTGGAAGCCATGAGACCTGCTAAAAAATATGTTGGAAAGAGACCTTCTATATTCTTGAAATATTTAAAACATTAATTTAAAACATCTACAGTTTGAAACATTTTTAAATATTTTAAAACAAGTTTCAAACATTTCCAGATGCATCTGTAAAGACACTGACCTTCTTCAGCTCTTCACAATTCTAAAAGCAATGTCAAGTGAGACAAGAGTGCTCATGACATTCAGATTTGTCATCTTTAATTTAATTTTTCAGTACTTAATAGGAAAATTTTTCTGGAATGGGAAAAAAATCCTTTATCATTTTTGCTATAAAAATAAACCTTAATACAATATGTAAGTATTGCTTCCTAAGGTAAAATAAATCAACCCTTTCAAAGAAGTGGTTTTGGACTTAAAATTAAATTTTCTACTGGAAAACAAGCCCTTAGGTACTAAAATATCTCTGCATCAAATATAAACCTACTTGAGGAATGGAAAATATTTGAAAATTTTAATAGAAGAAATAAATTGTCAATTCTATTCTTTAACTGAAGGAGTACTTGACATTGCTCATGACAAAACCACTTGACTGAGATACAGCTTCATGGAACAGAAACCAGCTGTCTTCTGACAAACAAGACAGTCTATATTTGCTGAATAACAGCATATGTCATATTTGTCGGGTTGTTTTGTTTTTTTAATTCCTTTTTCCTTCTGTTTTTTAGGTCCAGGTTTGTTTTTTTTGTTTTTTGTTTGGTTTTTTTTCTGAAAAATACAGCCATTTCCCCCTCTCCACTCTCTTTCGTTCATACTGTTACTAATTCCTCTTCACACCATCTGGATAGCACCTCGGGTTTCCTCTGCATTTTCAACCGAGGAATAAGTTGGTGAAAATAATCAGCTTGCAGCTTGGAAAAACACTCCTAATAAGCTGTATGTTTACGGCTGCTGCTCAGACTCTGTTTTTCATTTTAATCACAAGTCCCCAAATGCTGCTCTGCATTATCTGCCAATTAGTAATGCTAGTTCTAATCTGTACCAAGCCAGCTTTACAAAAACCCTCCTCACAACACACAGCCTCAAGAGTTGGCTCCAGGGCAACACCTCTGTCTTCTTAACCTCAGAMGCAGCAGTTTCTCCCTTTCTACCACAAATGCTGAGCACTTCCAAGGAGAGATGGTGCTGATTGCCTTTCTTATGTTAAATGCCATTTCCTCCCCTTGGGGAAGGACTGCATTACTGGATAACAGAAACAGAGGGTAATTCTGAAGGAAAAACTCAACCAAAACAGAAAACATGGTGTGTGCTTCAAGATATCCAAAAGTATTACTGCTCTCTTTTTAATGAAAAAATAACAACACCTGCTTTCTTAGTGGTGRGGGCACATAATGCTCATTAGCACTAATAGGAGTCAAGGAGCTGTACAAGTATCACATTATTACTATGCGCACAGGATTGTACCCCTTTATTACCTTAAACCAGAAATTTGTGACAGGTTACAAGAAAGTTAATGTACTCTCTACCTTGTGTTATTTTAGTTGGAGGAACAAGGGAAAAGCCTGATGAAGAAGATACCAACTGTAATTCTATTAAACAACAAAGCAGATTGTCATAGTTAATTACATATTTAAGGATTGAAAGTAGGCACACATTTGTAAGCAAATCTTTAATTCAGGCTTGTTTCAAAGACTGCTCCAAGCTTTCTGTTTATCAGAGGCAAATGGTAAAATGATGAATCCCACATCACATAATTTTCTAATATTCAAAGAAAAGAACTCCAGAAAGAAAAAAACTCAGATATCTATAATTCAGTGCTTCATTGAAGCATGGGGGTTTTGGTGATTTTGTTTCCCTGCTAGCTTTTCCCATGAGAGGACTGAAGTTCCCTCAGTGAACCACACCACTATTTAATGAGAAATAAAAACCTCCATCAGGTCCTAGATGAAGAGGGCACACCTAGACCAGCRAAGATGTTACCAGGTAAGCTCTCATGACAGATCTCTTGGCTACAGTGTAGAATGTTTTGACAGAAAGTGTGGAGAGAACCACACATCTGCGAATGCTGGTTCAAGGTGTGCTGTGCCCTCTTGTACTGATGAAGTCAAAGCATGCATACGTGGACTGCAGACACTAACAATCTGATCTTGGAAGATAAGGATGTGCATGCTAATATGTACAACATGTATGACTTGGGAGGTTATTATTGACTGAATCACAACTGGAAAGTAAGTAAGTCTAGATATACAGTCMAAGTGTAGACCTGATAAAAACTTAATTTATTTTAGAATTATTTTGGAGTATCTGTACAGGAAAGTATCATGGACTTACTCACAGGTTTTCTCTACAGTTAATTTATAGAGTAAAGRATATTTGAAGTGTTTTAAACCTGAATTCTTTATTCAGACAACTCTACCATTCTCTTTTCCTGACTGATACTGACACAAACTTCTGTAGTTTTAGTTGATGCTTAAAGCAAATGAAAACTTCCAGTACTCTGTAACTTTACGTCTATCAAAGAAAAAACTTGGTAAAATATTGTGTAAAACTGGAGTCCTATAGATAACCTTTGACAGAAGTTGAAGTGAACTAACTTATTTCTACTAATGCTTATTCATCAGTAGTTGTATTTCCTAAAGCTTGTGTAGAAACATTCTTGCCCTCTATTTAAACTTCATCTTTATCATGCCCAAAACATACCTCGTTCCAAATTTTTATAGCAAACCATMAGACATATGSAAGATGTCACATCAGTGAGATTTATTTCAACTTAATGGAAGTGGAAGCTATAAATATGACTTTCATCAAGTAATGCTGCAASAAATTTTACTTTTTATGTAAATGCAGTTCACAAATATTTAGCAGGAAGAAAAATCCTACTGCCTCAAGATTGCTTCTAAAAATAACCTGATCTTTGTGGGCAACATGCAGTTTACAGTAAAGAACTATATCTTGTCACACGAGTGCATTTATCAAATTTATACACTGAGTAGTTCAGGATTCCAAATTATTCCAAACAATATTCAAGATGCTTGAGTGGCTACCCTTCTTGTTGAAAACAGGCAAACAAAGAAGAAATGGCTCGATACAATGCACAGTAAAGAGATTTGCAAGCAAGCAAGGTGATTCRATGCAGCACATTTCAGGTGCACAAGGAAGTGTACAGGCAATCTCCCAGCAAGACTTAGAGACTTAAGGATGGTATTGGACAGACATAGCTGAAGTAAATTCAAACACAATTCAAATCACATTTAACCTAGCTTTATAGTACCTGCGCCACTTTCCTTAAGACTTTCTGGTTTTTATCCTTCCCATATTAAAATATGACAGGTTGYAATCACACCCATGGAGGAAGTTTCATAGAAATTCACTTCAGAAAATGKTTGTTATGGAAGAGTTTAAAGCAGATTCAGCAGTGTACGTTCAGAATAAAGAACAACTTTTCCTTTTCTTAGTACATCACTATTTTCTGCAGCTGGTTCAGGCTACAGCCAAATTACGAGTAGTATTTCCTACCCTGATCTTAATATGGTTTGATTTATGGTAGAGACTAAGGTCTAAGCAAAGTTTAGATATCCAATTTAGTTTTGGAACATGAAGAAAAAGTCATATAACATTTTTTGACATGTTTATGCTTTCTATTTCATGATCCCCAATTACAATAATTACGAACAAATACATCATAAATCCTACAGGCCTTAGGCAACCCTCCTTCACTGGGAAGGTTACAGAGACACCTGCCCCATCTGCTACTTATTTTGCAAAGCCTCTTTCTATTGAGCACATAGTCAGATTTTCAGCAGAACAGTGGAGAATCCTTTAATACATACACAGACTTTACCTGCTAGAATAGAGYGTAGGTCGATCACGTAGACAATGCTCATCTACATTCAAAGAAGAAGAAGAAATTGTGGTTGCCAAAGAAGCTGCTTCAAACAGAGATGGAGTGCTTGGCACTAGATCTGGCCGGTGGTGCGAACCCAGTACTGCTTATGGAGAAATAAAGAACGTTAACAAATTTCATTTCAAATTGAACCCAGGAATCTGTAAATATATGGAGTCCTATAGTGCCCTCATCAGCTCCTGGAAGTTTCTTAATGTTTGAACTGATGAGATGATCAGATTCATGATTCATATGATCAGATTCATATGGCCATACCCACACTCTTTTTCTACAGAGTGAATTTCAGCTGCTAATCAATACATTTAGCAGAATACAGAGCAACTCCGAGGTCAAATATCAAGCAGAGGTATGAGTAATAAATTATTCTCAGTTCTGGGACTATTCCCATGCTACCAGGGCTCATTTATCAGATGGGACWAGGTGATTGGTTCTGCATTCAGTGTGGCTGCAGGCAAGTTCTGAAAGGGGCAAAGTTGGTATTTTTTCAAAAAGCCTCTAGGAAGAATGAACTGAGCTTCAAAAGACTTAATGTGACATTCAGTTTGTTTAGAAGTCAGTGGAAATGATAGCACTGGCTTTGGCCTTAATTTGCTACCTRGGCATAGAATAAGAAATAGAATAGAATAATTTGACTCTGATYTTGAGAGATCACCCTTACTGGGAGGTTTCTAATTACAGAACTTCTAGAGCTTACACAAAATTTCTTTGAAAACMTCGTTTAGGTTGTTGATTTGAAAGACAGTACCTTCTTCATCAAGGCTGGCATAGCTTTGTCCTTCAGCAAGAATGCCATGCTTTTCATCCTTCCACTCCTGGCTAACTGCACACACTATTTCTTGTGATGCTGCCTTTAGGGCTGTGATGGAATTGCACCGTTTCTTTGAAGGTGAAGGCTTTAAAGCTGCATTACCAAATGAATACAGGTGTTGAATGATGTCATCTTATCTTTCTGCACATCTTTAACAGCATACAGAAAAGTAAGTCATATGGAAAGTCTAAGCTTTGCGTACAGATGAAGAACATATCCAGCTACAAATCCACTTAATAAGCATTGTATTAAAACTAGAGCCATAGGTATTATTATTCGATCTGAAAGAGAGGTAATTTTGTCTTTTTTAGTTTCTTATTGCTTATTATAGGACAATAATTAAGTCACTGACATCACTAAGTTAAAAAATTCCTATGGAGTCTCAACCCATGTAATGAGAGACAGAATGATACAGAAAAAAAAAACCAAACAAGAAACCAGGAAAGCTGAAAAGACATTTGGAGTATTCCGGGACATTACAATCTTTTTTTTTTTTTTTTTTTGAGCTGTGAACTACTGCTAAGTAATGATACTGCAGAATTTCCATTTCAGACCCATGTGCCAAACATTTTCTTTGGGTGAAATAAACACTTCCAAAATCTTGATGGCCTGCACCCTCAAGCATGAGCACCTCTTTTTTAATTCTTATCAGGTCCTGCCAATTTAAAAAGCATTTTGAGTGAAACGAGGAACTGATCATTGCCACTACTATTGAACCATGACCCCCATCTGTAGTTCTTCTTCTGAAGGATGTCAACTAATTCATTTAGTGTTTTTCAGCTGCTGACTGCTGMTCTCTGTGCATCAGTTACACTATAACACTTCATTCATTGCTTTACTAAAAAGTTCAAATTAAAAACATCAAGTCACATGTCTGAAGACTGAAGAAAAGGATCAGATGCATAGCTGTAGAGTATTTTTTAAAAAAGAACATAGTAGATAGCTGCTGACCTAGACTACGCCCAAGACTAAATCCACTTATTAAGTTTTTGTTGTTAGTTGTGCACAGTTGTTCAGTGCAGTAGGGGAAAAAAACAACAGATTCAGAACAGGGCATAAGTGTTTAAACTGAAATGTCTGACTCAAAGCTTAGATATAATGCTCCTGAAGGCAGGAATACTCCCARTTCTTTATTTTACGAAAGAATGATAAAGTATTTGAACAATTATCCTGTATAAAAGTACATTRACAGCCCTGTATACAGAGGAAATCAGTAAGAGTAGGGTACTGAGACTGGTTAATAGACTGGAAAAATGAGACAGATGAATTAATATCAGGGAGAAAATTAGGTGTGATATCCTTTAATTGTACATTGTAGGCTTCAAATACAGAACAGGGTGTCTTGTCCTGGAACAAATATAGCAGTCAGAATTAGAAAGTACTGGGGAAAAAAGACTCAGGTGTTGAGGAAACATATATGGCATTTATTTTGTCAAACAGAGGTATAAAACAGTGAGGAGCAGACACTCCTTATTCTTTATCAATGCAKAGGAGTTCCTTTGGGTATTGTCTCAGACAACAGAACTCCCACCCGTTCTCTGGCAAGATTATTCTCAGATTTAAAGAGAACTATGTCTCAGGAGGCTCCTTTCTCCTTTCAGCTGAACTTTGCTTCATATTTTCTCATATTACATCAGACTCTTTTATTTTCCTATTAATCAATCTTTCCCAAAGGCTTTAACTTTTAACACCTTAAATCATTAATTTACTCTAGTATTTGTAGTCATTCTTGTTTTTCTTAAATACCCTTTACTTCTATCATTTGTTTGTATTTTGCTCTCYCTCTGTCCACACAGACTTGTTTCTCGCTCCAGATAACTAATGAAAATGTTAAGAGACCAKATTAACACTGGTCAAGAAGTATTTGCAAAACACCTTCTTAGTAGTTTAAGACAATGCCGTTGCTCAATACTCCTGTAGTATTTGAGCCAAGTGTCCCTTCCATATTTTGACACTCAAACTCCAAAGCAGATACAGTTCCAYGAGCAGGACTATGAAACTGCTAACTCAGAGCCACTTAAAAGTACACATTCTTCTACAAACTAGATAGTTCTAGCCCATCAGTTTGTACTTATTTGTCAAGAATTCTGCTTCATGAAAAAAAATTAAAACTGAGAAAACATTCTCTTCTATATGACAAGCAAAACCAGTTGTTCTCTTACAAGAAAGAAACAAAAGATGCAGTTTCAGGATCACTTCCATGGTTTAAAAAATAATTKTAGTAAAGGAGGAAGTTAGTATGTATGCATGCTGTTTGAAACACCTAATCTGTATGTCTTACTGTAACGTTATATACAACTTGTTATAATTATTGGAAAAAAACCTCATTGTATGTGTAATCAGAGCAGCTTTTCCCCRAAGAACAGCCTGGGCCACATCAAACCCCAAGCACTCACCTTTGCMTTGCCAGTATATTTAGCCTGTCTTCCCTACAGCCTTCCTTACTGTACACACATTCAGCACATCTCAGCAGCTGTCATAGAATGATTTGAGCTGGAAGGGATCTTAAAGATTATCTGGTTCCAATCCTCACTGACCCCAGGGACACCTTCCACTAGACCAGGTTGCTCAGATCCCCATCAAAACTGGCCTTGAACACTCCGGATGGGGCATCTACAATTTCTTGGGCAACCTGTTGTAGTGCATGACCAACCTCACTATAAAGAGCCTCTTCATTACATCTAACCTAAACCTACCCTTCCTCAGCTTAAAGCCATTCCCTCTTGTCCTATCACTATATGCCCTTTAAAAAGTCCCTCTCCAGCCTTCTTGTAAGCCTCCTTTAGGTACTGGAAGGAGTAAAAGATTGCTACAAGATTTCACTGGAGATATCTCTTTCCTGGGCAACTCGCTTTATTTGACTTCATAGGAGAGCTCTTCCATCCCTGTGATCCATTTGGTGACCCTCTTCTGGACTGTGTCCAACAGGTCCCTGTCCCTCCTGTGCTGGGACCCCAGAGCTGGTGCAGTGTTCCAGGTGGGGTCTCAGCAGAGCAGAGCAGAGCAGAGCAGAGGGGCACAATCCCCTCTCTCCCCTGCAGCCCACGCTGCTTTGGATGCAGCCCAGGACACGTTTGGCTCCCTGGGCTGGGATTGCTCATGGCTGGGTCATGTCCAGCCTTTCACCCACAGCACCCCGAGGCCCTTCTCCCCAGGGCTGCTCTCCACCTGTTCATCCCCAGCCTGTGTTGATATCAGGGGTTGCCCCAACCCAGATATATCACTTTGCACTTGGCTTTGTTGCCTGATGGGTCCACTTCTTGAGCTTGTCCAGATCTCTTTTGTACCCCAACACCACCCTTCTCTGCACTTGCAATGCTTCAGATTGAATTTCCTYTCAGTAGTATGACCAACATAAAAATTATCCATCAAATCATTAATATTTCTAAGACTCCCAAACAGTCTAATTTTCCTGAAAAGCTGTCATAACAGATCATGAATACAAGGGAATCACTACTTAGGGTTAATTAAAATTTTCTCTTTTTCATCTACAGATACCTTCACTCTACTTAAAATACCTTAAATTTTTTTAGTACAGCTACTCTGAGCTTTCTCCTTTCATCTGTCTATCCTATTCTTATTTAGAATTACACAAAATACTTACCACCTACTCTCCTGTYTTCTTGTTGCATCATCAGTTTTTTCTTTTTTTTTTTTTTTTTTTTTCATGCACCTTTAGACATAATCATGTATGTCATTTCAATCTGCCAGGTCTCTAACACTGGTTTTCCTGGGCAGGCTCTGAATTCACAAGCTTAGTTGGTCTTTAGAAAAGTATTATCTTTACACAAGATACTTTAGAAAAGTATTATCTTTACACAAGATGCAGAGCAACAAAGGCCACTACAGTCTGAAAAAAATTGAAATCCAGCAGTAGAAAATGTAGTGAAAATAAAACTTAATCTGAACTTTTGATGGAAGAACCCTGTAGGAAGGTGTCTCTAAACTTTTTTGTAATTTATTTTTTAATTGGTAAGAAGTTCAATTTCCCTAAGTTGAGTCAGTTTTGCCTGGGGCAGTAATTGGTGAATGATCTCTCACTGTCTTTATTTGGACCCACCAGCCCTTTGTTATAACTTTTTCCCCCATCTAGCCGAGGAGGGGGAATGATAGAGYGGCTAGGTAGTCACCTGAAGCCAACATTAGTCCATTTCACCCACTAAGTAGCTAAAAGAAATATGTGCCTTAGCCTTGAGAATTAATTAAAAGATTAAGGAAGAAGAAATGGAGGGGATAATTAGATATCCAAATTCTGGTATATTTTTCCCTGATACAGCACAGAAGAAACCTATATCAAAAGGAAGAATACCTGATGCTGAAGATGGTATGTAAAGAAACTTTACTTCTGGAAATTAAATAAATTAAAATCAGTGGAGGTATTTCTACAAATAGGATACATCATTAGATCATGAAACTTATCTTTCTAGCAATGCTAACATACAGGAACCTCTTTTACCATTAGGCAGCCTGATGTGACAAAAATACATAGAAAATAATACTCTGTAATTTTACTATTATAGTACTAACTTCCCAGAAATTTAGTTTCTTAATTGGAACTATTAAGGTGCTATATGGCATTGAAGAAAGGCTTGTTTTACTACCAAGACAGGAGCATTATAAAGCTATGATTATCAAAATATTTAAGAGTGGAACTCACTACTTCCTTACCTTGAACTTTTTTGAAAACTCTTGCATTCATAAACTTTAAAAATCTGTCTGCATAAAAACTTGGTCGATGAACTGAAACAGTATCCTACAAAATTGAAAAAGGTYTCGGTCACATTTTCCATAAGTAAATCACAAGTATGGTGTCAAGAAAGAAGCTGGACACCTCAGGTGAACTATATTATACATTTCAGGCACAGTCAAAACTAGTAAATCATTACAATTTTTTTCCCTTTTAAAGGTTAACTCTTCAACTGTTTGAGTATTTCATTTATGAAATCATGAGTTAGGAATGATACAGCTATATCCTMCAAAATCTTGCAAGCATTTGAAATATTTTTTTTTCAAATAATGTATATTTTTCAGTTAGAGGTTCATCAGTGTCTTACTAAGTGGCTACTCTTGTGTAAGCTGTATGGACAAGCTCATAATATTAGTTTGATATAGTAAATATTAGTAATATTTAGCAATATTTAGTAAATATTTAGCAATTATTTAGTAAATATATAGCAAATATTAGTAATTTGAAAGCTCAACAAATAAGATCAGAGCATGTATTGGGAAGATTTCAGTGGTAGCTCAAGCCACATGACAATGTTAAACTACAAATATACCAGAGCCAGTTTTTTCCTGSTCAACATGTGTCAAAGTTCCATTATCTAAAATATCAGGAGTTKAAAAAAATAATTAAATCTACTTACCCCATCATAAACAAGTGCTTTCCAAGAATGTTCCAGCTTCTTCATTAACCTAAGTATATAAAACACGAAATCAGAACCTCTTTGCAAAATTTCCCCTTTTATGAGTAATTTCATCTTATTCAGTGAAACTTCATTGAAAATTGAAGTTCAACTCACCTGTAAGATTGGAGAATATCAATAATACCCATAAATAGAAGCAGCTTTTCTCCTTTATGGCTTTTGGCTGGAATACCTCCCATTCTGAGAGAAACAATGTAGTTAAAATATGTTTTAAGATATTTTTCATCACCAGTTACCAGCTGAACTGAACCCAGCTGCAAACCCAAAGGAATGAACAACATTAAAGCCAGATGCCACAGTGCAAAGTCTGTCAACTGTGAGTCACTTAGCATGCAATTGATTTTAAACAGAAAATCTGAAGTATCTGGGATTCAGTGGTAAATATCCACCATCAAAAAAGGAGGGGTATTTTAATATACTTCTTAGATAGAACTGGAAATATTCAGATGATCTGAAAATTGGAAAGAAGTGTTTATCAGTTTATTGCTAAGGAAATTAAGTGACTTTAGATAAGGGAGCCAAGGAAGGACTCAATTTGTCAGGATCTGAGTAGCACTATATTAGCTCAAGTGATGTGGGAGTCCAGGATGGCAGCTAGTGCTACACCTCTGCCATCGTACGACAGCATTGACCATCTTCTGTGTGAATGTGAGTTGTAAAAACTGAGTGAAATAAAGCATTAATTTATATTCTAGAGCTCTCAACATCTGAAAACTCTCTATGAATGCTAAATATAATAATTCACCCATTTGTTTGCTGTAGGTTTAAGCATATATTTCTATATCATTAGAAATCATTATCATTATCATGTATTTATCTACACTTCCTTGAGAACCAGGAGAAAAGTACATCCTTAATTTTAAATTAAATCCTTATTATAGTGAGGGACGGATTATATACAATGCTGAATGGTGAAGATAAAGCCCTCATCAGCACTTAATATATTATGAAGGAAACAATAGAATAACTATTGTCTTTTTATCCAAATTTCTACTGAAGTTTTTGTTAGACACAAAAGAGAAAATCCTCTTAAGCAGTTCTTAATCTCAGGAAATATCATATGTGTCTGCACTTCAGTGGTTGATGATATCATTCTATGTATTGAATTTAGTATTTCAAGATGAAAACAACTGCTGTAGGAATATCCATTTCAATGTTAATTTATAGTTTTCTTCTTATTAGGTCTCACCAGGCTGCTTCCAGTTAAAATTAGATTATAGCTGTGACTCTTGTATTAGTTGTTTAATAATATCTCCTTTATATAAGAATGCACTTGTGCATACATAAGTCACCCTGAACTATCATGCTGCYATGTATTTAAAGATGATCTATCTATTAATCAAGATTTCAATTTCATGCTCTGTGKCAAATATTGATGATGCAGCTTTTGGGGAAAAAAAAAMCCCTCAATCTTTCACATCCTGGAATGCAGCATACTTACGGATGTTTTGCCTGTTAATAGTTCTAAATAGTTTAAATAGTAATTTTAAAAGCAGGTTATGGTACTTACGTATTTGTTGTCTCTGTGGAGACGGAGTCTCCTGACTTCCCAGGGCCCTGTATAGATTCCATGGCTGTGGAATAGAGAACTTTCTGCCCTCCATGACGTTTTGCATCTGATGTGCTCTGGGAGCACTCTCCTTCCTTTTCCTTCATGTTACTGTTCAATATGTGGATCCCCAAAAGCAGACTGTAATCCATGATCTTGAAACTTTCAAGAACCTACCGACAGGAAGAAATGGCTACACTGAAAAAACAAAGCAGCATTTTGCAAAGCTAAGGGAAAACAGGCTTTCAAGGCATAAGCTTCTCTTATCAGGAAAATGGGTGAAATTGCAGTCAAAAACCTTTTACTCCCCCACATAAGTCAAAGTGCTAGTTATCTAATTAGCTCAATGCACTTGTTACAAGAGAGAAAGAAAGATGCATAGGTGAGATGTAACCTGATGTTATTTTGTAGTCACAGAAGATAATTCTGGGCAGCACATTTTCATTTGTAGCAAACAATCAGTTAATGGTTCCATCACATACTCATGAACAATAGACTTTTAAAAGGAATTTCTAATCCATGTTCCAGACCTTCCTGAGGTTTTTGTCTATACAAGTCTCTTATCTCCCCTCCACCTCCTGTTCATAACAGAAAGYGTATTCTTGGAGAATTTTGAAATGTCAGAAAAAAAATTTGCTACCACCCTCTCTTTAGCAGTTAATGCGACTGGAGTACAAAAATCATGCACCTCTCTGCTAGGCTAAATAGGGCCTATTTGAACTCACAGGACAAGTTTTACTTCTGAAGCATAACTTAATTAACCAGACTTTTCTTCTAGTTGTACCAACCATTCCTGTCTCTGGCTGCAGTCAATTTCCCTTCTTTTCCCGTGCATATGTAGTTTCATTTAYTTTTAGTCAGCTACACCATAATGAAATCTGGCCTGCTGTCATACTGTCAAAGGCAGTACAGTTCAAGTCAATACCCAAACATGAGCTAAAGCAAGCTGTGATTACATCTAGTAGTATAACKAAACTGCTCACAGACAGCAACTGTGTTAAATGTCTTACCCAATAGTAGTGCCAAGTGGAGGGAGGRACACCACTAGCAACCAGGAGGGATATGCTATGCCACTCACCTCTCCATCACCTCATGTAGCTCAGTAGTGATTAACGAKATGTTTTGGCACATAGTGCCCTAGGACAATAGTGTAATATCAAGATTCAATAGTAGGACTTTTACATGAATGAGAAAAACAGTGATTTTACAGAGATGACAGAGCAGTAACTCCAGGCGCATAATTTTGATGAAGATTATCCAAGCATAAATATTTTTGGTTAAGCAGAAACATCTCTTCTCTTTAAAAACGTGCAATTTTAGCACCTGTGCAGGTCTAAAAAACAACTGGCAGTAAATCACTAACTTAGTATGGATCTGTATGTCTTGTAATGTTTTCATGCCACTTACCCTAATTGTTGGAAAAAACACTCATTGTTCAGAAAGCAACAAACAGTGCTGAAACAAAGCATAACACACTGCAATCTAAGTGCAGAAAGGCACAACCTCACTCTGATTTTCAGACTCAAAGGATGACTTTAAGACATTGTAGGTTTACTCTTGCACAGAATGATCCTACACAGTGGTGCTTTAGTTCAAACGGAATAAGAAAAAGGCTGCTAATGTGTGCCTTTAATACTCTCCATCTTCTGATGACAGAAATCACAAYGGGTTTCAGACACAACAAAAAAGAGTATTCTAAAGTACCACACCACAAGATTCTGAAATTTTATTGTGCATTGTGTGGCAATGTTGATGGTTTAAATCATAAATTGCAAAAATAGCACAGCTAACAGGTACAACAGCATGTAGTAGCAAAAAAATTCTAATTTTCTTAATTGCTTACTTATTGCTACCCTTTACTCAGACTTTTTAAAGAAGAAATTACAATATAATATATTCATTAAAAATATGTAATCACTGAATGTGTGTCATCAAAATGGAAGTAAATTCTGCATAGGCTGAAAAATAACACCTTAGTAGTACAGTAAGCCACACTGTTCATTCAGAACCAGATTACAGTAACTATTCAGGCTTGGGAAAGGCATTGACACTTTTATTTTWTGTTTATAAACTTCTGCTGACAGCTGTGCCTTCAACATATTCTTTAATGCGTTTTGAATTAGGTCGCATTAGACACATGATGATTTTACTGTACTAATTACATAACCTAGGTCTAGGACTGAATGTAGCCTCATGGGAGGCTGTGGTGTAATGTGCTGCTTCTTCCACAGGGACTTCTYATGTGATGATATTAATCCTTCTGACTACATCAATTCATCACTTAAATGCACACTACTTGTACCGTACAACACACTATTCTTTGAAAATTTATGATTTTGACGTAGGATTACTGAAAAAAATCATAAAACCAAGTAGTTATTTTGTTATTCCAGTTCATTATCAGACTGAAATACTTTCACATCCCAGTGGATTAAGTGCAGTATGGATTCTTACAAACAGCACCTAGCATATGAACTGTAGCCTTTTCACCCCAGACACTCTGTTCACAGCCCTACTCAGAGACAGCATTGTTCTGTCCACAAAGTGTCTTCAGCTTATCATGACATGATCTGGCCCTGTCTGCCTACAGGTTTGATACACAGTTCTGATTACCTCCCCTTAGTAATGTGATAACCAAACCAACCACTCCTTACGCAAATGAACCTTTGTGACCATATCTAAATATATTTCGTTCCCCGTTTTCTAATGAAACTTCTGGTAAGAAATAGTTAACCAGAATAACAACGAAGAATCTCATAAATCAGCACTCAACAAAAACTTACTTTGTGTTCAAACTCCTCAGTCTATATTGAGATAGCAGTTTTACTTCTTGATAAAAGTAAATCAGTAAGATTTACAGCTGCATATATCTGAGGGGTTCTCACATATGAATCTTTATGAATATTTAAAATACCAAATTGTCACAATTTTTTAATAYGTAAGCAACATTTTGCGCACAGAGCTGTACAAAATAATATTGGTTCAACAAGGACAGGTTACAAAATGCAGAACATCGAGACATTTCTGGACATGCCGCATTCTATGAGAACATAAATGGCTCAAGGCTTTTCCTGTGCTGAGGTTCATTTGCAGACAATTTTGATGATTTTAGAGCTGCTTTTAAGATGCAGCAAGTTTTTTGCTACAAAAGGATAAAAATAATAACCTAATCTAATGAAAAAAAATCCACTCGAATTACACAGCTATATTCATAGCTATAGTCAAAAGGAGAAAGCTTGAAAAACACCTGACTCTATCCATATGAGATCACTAGAAACTGACATTAACTCCTAGAAATACACTACCTGTGTAGCTAAAGGGAGGAAAAAGCTCTATCTTTGGTCATGTAACCATTCTGATATGCACCTTGCTAGCAAAATAGCACTGTGAGGTTTCAGCAAGAATGGTCTTAACTATGCTGTGACTAACAAGTAAGTATTGTGTTTGATCATGATAAGTAAACCTTTGGCTCATTAACATGACAGTAAATGGTTCATCTTGATAGTATTTATATAGGCGTTAATTCACTAGCTACACAGATTTAGTCAACACAGTGTTGTCACTTGGTCACCCAGTACTGCTCGCAAGGATGACTTCAGCTGCTCTGAAAACCTCCAGATGGCAAGTGTCACTCACCCCTTGTAGCCTTAAACACTATTTTATTTCATACCACACAAAAACTCATGGCAAAATGGCATCACAAAATATGTTGTTCCAGACCATGAAAAATTAACTCGGTGAATCAGATTTTTTTTTCTCAGAGCTAATCAGATGTTAAAGTATGCTGTGAATCATCTTAGATATGGTTACGCTCCACTATCCTTGCCTACAATTAACAAAGCAAAACAAGTATTTCTACACTGATATGTCATTTTTATTTTACATGCAGCCAGCCCAAACTATGCACTAACCAAGAAATCTGCATTTACATTTGCTATCCATGCAAAATAGCATGCAAAAAAGTTATCAGATAATTTCCATGAAAGGGTCAAGAAAAATACTACTCAAAAGGAAAGAAATTACAAGCTTATGAAATGCAGGTACTAAAAGCTATCATGCAAGGAAGTATTTCCTCTCCTACAAGCATTTTGGAAAAGGGACATAGGAATTAACCCAATAGAAAGAAGATTGATTTCACAATAAATCAATAATTACACTTCAGCATAAGGATCTATATGAAAAATACACAAATTAAAGGACGATCTCACAAAATAAGCATTTCTTAGGAACACGTGCACAAATGTCAATGCCCAAAAATGGATCTGGTTCAGAATAAATCTATTCCGAGAAAATGAATCACCACATTCCCACCGAAGCATATGTGGATTCACTTCCCATTTCAACAGAATTGTCAAAATATGTTGTCAACTAGCACTCCAAAAACTAACAACCTGGATTCTGATTTTAAAAGTAAAAGTAACTAGAAATTTCTGATGTCAATTGATACTACAGGAGTGATAATATATACAGATACAAGAGATCTACATCATCATGCTATGGTCATTTTCCTCAAACTACCATTTTTGACAAAGAGCTGTTCATGTAAGATTAGTACATTCTCCATCTCCATGCCACACTGTGCCATCTTTTATTTCTGTCCCATGCTGTAGTTCAATATTTCATTAAGTTATGCCAACACTACTACTGTATGCAAGGATATGCTGTATAATGCATCACTGAAATTATTTGGGTTAAAGAAATATCTRTTTTGATCAATTGAAGCATTAAAAAGGCAAAAAACTGTGACACATGCCACGCATACCACTAAGGGATTTGAAAAATTCTGTGAATAAATATAGTCATACAAGGTCTCTGTCCCAGTTGCTACAGCACAAAACAGGTGTCCGTTCATTCCATAAAACTTTTGCAGCAACTGACTAAAACAACAGACTAAAACTCAAACCTCAAACTTAGGAGATATGACCCTCTTTATATGCAATTTTGAATTTTCTTGTCTTAACAAGCTTCTTTGTTAGTCACTTTTAAAGTGTAATTTCCTCAGAAAAGTCCAGTGTTCTTTGCCAAAAAGGTAAAATGCAGACTCTGAAAAGCCACTAATTTTTCAATAGTAAAAACTTGAAAAAATTTTGAAWTTTTTTTTTGTTCTTAAAAACTGCACAGTCACAATTTGTTTAATTGTTACTACTTCTGCAACAAGGCAAGCATAGGATGGCTACAGTAGTCGCAGCAATAGTCTGGAATCTGACAGCTGGTTCAAATTTTCAATTGTGCACATTGTATGTATGATAAATTCATGAATGCTCCATCTTTAGGAACACTGTAATGTTATACTCCTTGGTTCGCCTAAGGGGCAAAAACTGCAAAATTATCTGTGAGCAGAGTTTTCAGACACTGTCACATCAGGTGTGAACAAGCAGGGAAAACAGGAGCTGAACAGTGTTCTCAACCTGTACCTGCCCCAATGCAGATAATCTGGAGGCAACAGCCGACAAGGGATTACCACAAGCCACTCAGCTCCATTCTCTAATTGAGCAGGTCAGGCATCTCCTCACCAGCACTGCAGGGAGGTGTGACAGACTGTAATTGATACTCCAGCAGTAGTCCACCATTGCAGCACTCCATTCCCTGGGGAAGGAGCTCTGTGTCAGCTGTCGAGGTGGTCTGTGTCAGCTGAGCAAGAGGACAGTTCAACTAAGCAAGAGAGCCACAACACACCTTGGATGAGAAAAGGCAGCACACAGGACAGGCTACAAAGAAGGAATAGAGAAACTCTACCTGGGCATCTAGGGATGGCAGCTACGGTCAAGGAAGCCAAAGTCCAGATAGAGTTGAGATTGGCAAGGAATATCAAGAAACAAAGAAAAGCTTCTACTGCTAGTGGGAAAAGGCTGACCAATAAAAATGTGGCCCCATTGCTGAATGGGGCAGAAGTTTCAGTGACAGCAGTCATAAACCATAGCAGATCCCCATCACTGCCTTTTTTCATCACCAGGAAGTTCTGCCAGGCCTTTGAACTTAGTGATAGAGCTTGAGCAGGAGAGGGGCTAGCAGCAGGGATGCTTACATTAAAGAAGCAGGAGAAAAGTCTATTGCTTCCTGATTCTGATTGATATGAACAGTGGAAATATAATCCAAATTTAAGCAACACAGAAGAGAATTTCTTAGTCCTCAAATACTGGAAAGATTAAACATTTTCTTTCTTAAGTGAACTTTTAATTTCAACTGACTACATTAATTTTCTTGCATTGGAGTAGCAGTAAAAAGAGATGACAAATTTGAAGACCTAGAAAGCTGATCACTTATCACTCATGCWAAGTACCCATCCAAACACCACATGCGCAGAAAAAAACAGAGGCAAGACTGATGTCCTTTTCATTAAATAGATGGACTATTTCTAGTCTTTTTAAAGGCATAAGCAAAAGGCAGGTAGTCAGATCCAAACTCATTTGATGAGCAAATTCAGCTGCATGAAAGAAAACAGCATCTGCTCCCTCTGTTTTACAAGACAGGGTAAGACTTATTTGAACAGAAAAAAATGCCAGGTWATTTTTTATTGTATGCATATAACCTTCAGTGTGTTTATGTACATACATCTACTGATACGCACAGACATATACTTTATTTATGTGTATACACGGATTACTGTAGGATAATTTTCTTCTTTACATTTAATACTTTTGAAATTTAGCTGGCCCTTTTGGAACTCTAGACTAACTTTAAAGTTGTTAATCTAAGATTAYACACTGAAAAGAATTGTATTAGTTCAGGACTCAAATAACATGTAGCAGGAATTTCCCCAGACTTCCAGAGAACCAGTAAGAATCTCTTTATGCAAAACAATTAAATTATTGATTCTTGTTTTTACTTTTCAGTCCAGTTCCCTCTTTTAGATTTCCTTTATTATTTCCAATACAATAGATTCCCCTAGGCTTTGACTGGATAAGAAACCTTGGACAAGTGGGGGATGCTCAGAAAGGCATCCAGATCCCCAGATGCGACTTACTGATGCATTCTGTGTCATCACGCATCGTAGGAGCTCAGGAAATAYTGCAAGAGGCTACAGAAACAACAATGTTTGGTGTTAGATAAATGTCTCACGCTGAATATGCAGCTGAACATTAGGTCACACAGCTTTACAAACCAATCACAAGGCATTGCAGACTTCTGTGATAGTTAAACAAAAAAATCTATTCAACAGCAAAAACAATGCTTTCCATCTTGCACCACAGGTGGCAGTGAACAACAAACTCTGATATTCAGCATGTTTCTTCTATGTGGTGAGTTCAGAATAGACATTTTGCTTTTTTATTATTAAATTCTTAAGATTCCCCTCAGACAAAGCAATTTTTTTCTGTCTCATAGCTCTGTGRATCCTGGGAAGCTGAGAGATCTGGAGTCTCCTTTTTCCTACTTTATATTTTTTTACCCATGCTACAGAAATTAAAAAAAAATCTATTTTACCRCAATTCTCTGTATCCATAAGAGGAACTGATTCCATTCCCCAAAATCCTCGAAAARAGCAATGATACGTATCCCTCTCCTACCCTGAAAATGTTACATGGACAGCACTACTTTTCATCTGAGGAAGAAATTACTTTGCTCTAGAAATAAGACTGCTGCCACTAGGCCTGCCTTTCCATTTCTAGCTTACCRAGAGACAGAGTCACAGCAGCTCTACAAACAGTTTTATCATATGTAACAATGGTCCCACAGGGCTATTTATGCCTTCAGAAAAAATAATTAAAATCTCCAGATTAATGGAAATAATAAGAATAATAATCATAATCATTAAATMTACTGGACTTCATCCCTGCATTAATCTTTACTGCCACAGAAGGATCAGTGTAATCCTGGATGTACAGAGAAATAGAGGGATAGCCCTGGAACTTAGGGTTGTGCCAGATGACAAACTCAGTGAGTCAGCASTGTGCCTTGATGGCCAGAATGGCCAGCTGTACCCTGGGGTGCACTGAGCACAGAATAGCCAACTGGTCTGAAAGAGATGATTGTCCCACTACRCTCAGCACTCACCTCAAGAACTGCGTGCAGTTTGGGTCTCTACAGCGTAAGGAGGATATAAAATACTAGAATGTGTCCAAAGGAGGGAAACAAAAGTGGTGGAAAAACTACAGGGTATGACTTGTGAGGAGCAGATGAATGTATTAGTTTTGCCTAGCTTAGAGGTGACTGAGTGGGGGGAATGAATCACTGCCTATTTATGGTGGTGCAGAAAGGGTGGGGCTGATWTCTGGGTGCCTGGTGGTAGGATGCAAGGGAGCAGCTTAAAGCTGCATTAGGGAGGTTCAGAGTGGATATAAGAAGTTTTTTAGTGGTCAAGCTCTAGAATGGGTTCCCCAGGGAAGTGCTCGAGGTCCCTGCCCTGTTGGTATTCAAGAAGTATAAGGACATTCTATTCTATGACTCTATGATCTCAGCTTAACACAACAACAGCTTAACTAAAACACAGGCTTCTTCACTGACCTTACGTAGTTTTCCCTCATTAAATAACATGTAAAACAAAAGGAGGTTAAACAACATATACTAAGCAAATTGAGAGCAGATGAGAACACAGAATTTTAAACAGCCAATAATTTTTACTCACTCGACAGTCACGCTGTAGTGTTTTCATTAGTGCACTGTGTGTTTCAGAGTCAAAATACAATCCTTCATGCATATCTTGCAAGAAGTCCAGGTCTTTGAATGTAGGGTTGGACTTCTCCCTCTCTTTTCTTGATGCTCTCCGTTTGTAGGTGGAGCCTTTCAAGTCATATGTGAAATGCATTTTCAAGGCTCGTGGCAAAACATTGTTCATGACAACAATTCTAATATTAATGCCTCCAGACTGAACACAGTACAGCCCATAAAATTTGGGTAGAAGAGTCCTTGGATTCTGGTTCAGATTCTAAAACAAAAAAGAGATATTTTTAAATACATCTATTTTCAATGAACTTCCATGCTTAAGAAAGGGTTGTTTGTTTTGTTGGTTTTTTTAATGAGAGAGGACGTTAATAAACATGAAGAAAATTGTGATTGTTTTCTTATTTAGAATAGTTTCTCCAACAGTTGATTTTCTTCGTGGGTTTCTGTTTCAGAAGGCTAGTATAGCCACTGCTTTTTTGCCAGGAATTTCCATCTACCAAGAGCAGTGCAGTAACTGCATTTATGCAAGGTTTCTCTTTCTCACAATAAATAGCAGACTGGGCCAGGCCTAAAAGCATCCCATAGATTTATTTTTTTCTGACCTGAACAACCCTTGTATTTCACCTGCTGGAAGGAGTTTGGGTCAAATGTATTTCAAATCATCTTGACTTGGATTCTGAAAAACAGTACCCCTTTCTTCATGAGGCTTCACAYATTGAGGGTTAGTGCCAAACAACTAAAGGAGTGTGAGGTCATAGCAGAACCACAACTGACCATCAGAACAGAAAAGTGTGATATAATCCAAATTCCACAGCAGGCAAAAAAATTAGGTAGGAGAGGACAACAGAGGCGAGAGAGAAAATCCTCCAAGTACAACTGCTCTCAGTCATTGGCATGAAAAAGCAAGAAGGGGAAAAGTTACTTCAGGTTTTACATGATTACTAAGCCACCACATACAACTATCAGAAGCAAGTACTTTCACAGAAAGTAATCACAGTGATTGAAGTWTTTTCCTTTGGAAACTATCGCCTAGCTGTGAGAAGAAATTTCCCAGAAACAACACAAATTGGCCTTATGTATACTTGTAACAACCCAAAATTATGCCGAGCAGATTATCATGACTAGAAACAACAAAAAAAAGTACCTGCCACACTGTCCTTTTTGATGTGTCAGTACACACCGTTTTTTTTTTTTACACACAGTGAATCTAGGTAACTTTAGTGTAATGATGACAACATTCCTCATCTTTAGTACAAGTGAGAGGGTAATTTTCAAGTATTTACTTCAGAAAACAAAGCAAGAAAAGAAACTGAGTCACAGGTCTAATAATACAAAGTCTCACATACCACCAGAAGACTCTGGTCATTTTTATAAGTGGCTTTCCTTAAGGAAAAAAGAAAATCTACTTACTTTTAATCAATTGTTTTCCGTTCTGATGATACATAAAACCCAACACAATGAACTTAGAATTAGCCATCAAAAAGCTCAATTTAAATATTAAGTTTTGAACAAATTATATAGATAAAAATATCTTTGACATTATTGCTTTAATACATAAGAATGGAAATCAGAAGTAGTTGGAAACAAAAGTGAAACTGACCGGTCTAGTTTCTTTGTCCACTCTGAGTGAAATGCAAAGGGTAGACAAACACAAAATGGAGAAAAAAACGGAATTAGAAATTTAGAAACCTTATTTTGTTACTAGCTTATTAGAAGCAAAGTTTGGTATCAAATCAGATGGTGACATTAAGCTTCATCTTGAATGCTAAAAAAGCACTAATTCTTATCTTAAATATCTTTTTTGGTTTATATCTATTTTTTTCTGTTGTGTGTGGAGCATGAAGTAGAAAGGCAGGTAAAAATGTAAAAAATATTACAAAAAATACAGACAAACCAAATGAAATATTACAAAACAAATGAAGCTGAGTTTTCAGGAATGTGACATGAAACAGGAGAAATAGAGGTGAAATACAATCTTCAATTACTTACCATATAATAACCTGGCAAGAGCTTCTGAAGAAACTCAGCCTCTTTGTGTTGAACTGTTTTGATGATGAATTCATCACCACTAGTTACAAAGAATAACGACCCACTGGCACCTGGRTTGGATAATTCAATTAAAGGTTCACTGCAGATTGAGTACTGGAAGAGACAAAAATTTTTTTCACTGCCAAAGCATGGATTACCCAAACACAAGTTTAATACAGAGAACTGCAGGTTCAAATAGGCCCAAGAGAATAATGTAGCAATACTACTGCTGCTGAACAGCAAACTGATTCACAGTAATTTGGCTGAGGTTTGGCAGGACATGTTGCACAACCGTGCAACCGTGGAARGGCAGCTGGCAGCTGTGCATACAATCCCTCTTCTTGTTCCACTGCAACAGGTGGATGCGCCTTTGGCGTGAAGCCAGAGGTTGAGGCCGAAGAGTTGATCCTCACACTGTCAGCACAGTAAATTCCTGAGTCAAAAACTTTAACAACACATTTTCACTGCAACTGTTGGGTCTCCATATCCATTTTTAAAGGAAACAGATAAAAAATGGTAGAAAAATACACTGGGAGTAAAGGTTTCTCACTGTAGACAAATAGGCAAAACCTATTCTGTGAAATTTGGATTAAAACTATTAGACTAATAATCCTGGCATAGCTATAGCTACTAATTGTAATTWTTTTTTTACTATTTTTCTGATTGAAAACTGCTTGAAACAGAAAACAAATCAACACCAGTAAGCAAGAAAAACTGGGATGTGGGGAACCATTATTTTGCATATTTAGACAGGCTTTCTCTTCTACAGGACACTTTAAGAATTACAATCACATTAAGGAGGAAAAAGACGCCAAAGACTTATCCCTTACTAGCAAACCAGATATCACGCAGAGACTAATGTACATTTATTAAATGTCCACTAATTTAAACATCATTCAAATTAAGTGGAGAGTAGACATTAAGCTCAAAACCATAGAAAAATCTCTTTAYATTAAATTTGAAAACAGTGATAAAAGAAAATCTAATAATTATGTTCTTTTGTGAGCACTTGTACTGGAGATGCATGTTACTTATGGACTCAGTCCACAGACTTAATGCATCTTTTAATCCTAACTCCAGCTAAGGCTTGCAGTTTTTAAGACACTTTTGAATAATATATAAATATTTCCTGTTCCTCTCCCTGCTTCTGAGCCCATTCAGTTCCAATTAAGAAAAAATACCTTTCTTGTTAATCCTACAGCTGCAATTTTCTATAGACATAATGGCATAGAAAGWCATATATTTCTATAGACATAACCATACCAATCTGTAGCAATGCAAACCTTTAGACCAAATCAGCAGTTGTATTGCAGCACTTACATTTTTCTTGCCAAAATGTTTAAAGCTTCATGAATAACTGTCACTATGATAAACATTTGAAAGCAAGTATCCTAAACATTAAAGCTCAATAGAACAGTTTCACATAAGCACAAGACATTGACCTACACTCTGTGTTGGTCATTCTACRGTAGTATGCGTTTCTGTAAAAAAGTCTACCCACCATATGCTTTTATACAAAAGCCCAGCTAGTTTGGACTGGACACCTCTCAAAGCTAAATCTAAACCAAAAAGTAAGAAAATCCCCAAGAACCTGACAATTGAGTACTCACGATGAAGAAGTTTCCTTGCAAAATGACAGTATTCCATGATGTTTCCAGTGACAATTTAATCCTATGAGTTGTTCAAATGTATTTTACCCTTGTTAACCTGTCTGATTCCTGTAGTGCATTACCACTCATCCTCCTTGGGAAAGGTAAAGTTTTAAATCTTGGAGCTTTATCACTTCAAATTAAGAGTGTAAACTCATATATGCTTGCTTTAATTTCTATTCTTCTTATTTTACTTCTTTTGCCCTTCAGCCACAACTGGACAATCATTTACTACTTACCACATACCAYTAGTGTCTTTTGCTGTGCCAAGAGAAAAAAGAATCTGCAACAAGTTGTCTTTACTGGGAATTTCCCTCAGGGAATGGTCTTTTTGTACTTAAACTGACTGCCACAAATCTTATTCACAACATGCAGTCTTTCTATAATCTTTAACTTCTGTTACTGCAAAGGCTTCCTTAGATGGAAAAGAATTTGCAGGTGATAACAGCTTTACTCTAGGAGGCACAATCTTTTTAGCATCTGGCAACACAGCCTACATACTTTATCTTTTGCCAAGTCCATAAAAAGAGATAATATAAATAACACATTACATAATGTGAACTGTCATACATGGCCTTCTTGTCTCCAAACTGGAGAGGCATCAATTTGATGGATGGATCACTCAGTGAATAAGGAATTGGTCCACCCTAAGAATGGCCAATGGATGGCAAGGCATTGGAATATGTGGCCTAGAGAAGCTGTGGATGCCCCATTCCTAGCAATGTCCATTAAGAGACTGGATGGGGCTTAGAGCCTTTACTAGTGGAAGGCATCCCTGCCCATGGCAGTGAGGTTAGAACCAAATGATCTATAAGCCACTTCCAATTTAAACCATTCTATGATTCTATGTTTTATAAAACTCCTAAAGAACTTTCTTTCCTTGCTACTACCATTTATAATTCAAATTAATTATCTAWTTTTATACAAATCGTCATAAGGACTAGTAACACAAAATTCGTACATAGCACTTAAGACTTAAGACACCCACATTGAGACACCCACATTGAGACCTAAATAAAAGCAAAACCAGATAAATTTTGCTTTCGGATTTATTGTCCACGTAGGAAGAAAAAACATTGTAAAAGACTGGAACACAACAGAAGCAATATATTTAGTAATATATTAAGTAATGTTTCAGAACCATTTAATCAATTTTTCTTTTTTGGTTTTAAGGAAGCAGTTATCAATAATAGACCAAAAAGATTTTAAAACTCATTCAAAAAGTGCATARTATAACTTTGACTTATGAAGTTGCTAATTTGTACCAAGAGTCAGGTTTCCTGGGTGACCTACCATGAAACAAACTGGATGTGGGGCAAACACCTAGAAGACAATCCAGCTCTTTGCATGTACACTACAAAAGCACAACTACAGGAGAAATGGAATAGTGGATACTTGTCCTAGCAGTAAAATAAAGCACGCTTTTACAGTTCAGCAAATTTGTAACTTCATTTCTCTCAKGTAAACCACTGAACACTGTGAAACAATAAGTCTACAATTTATGAAATGGAGTGAACAAAGGAGTTATTCTAAAATGTTTCCATTTTAGTATGCTGTTCATGTTCCTCAAGGCTAGATAGGAGGAACATTTGCAGACATCACTTTGTAWTGAAGTAACACAAATAACACAAAAGTATTATATTAGAACTGAATTGAAAAAGGTCACACAACTACTGATTGTAACTTCTCTAGAAAAATTATATTTTTGTTGCTCTAGTCAGTTAACAAAGCAGGTTTTTTATACAAACCATCTCAAAAAAAAAAAGAAAAATTTTGATTCTAAAACATTAAAGATTACTTACTAATTTTATACTCCTCCACACATGAAATTGCTTACTGATTTGGGCACTCTTTAAGAATCCTCTTCTGCAATAAAACTAACATGCTTTATAGTAATTTGTAACTCAAATAAAAACTGCAAGCTCTTACCAAATAGTCATCAGGCTTGATACCAAAAAGTTCTCTGAAATAGCGGAAGGCAAGAGGTGCATACGTCTTAAATCTGAAGTCGGGGTAATGATGAGCAGGGGTAAGATTGCTCCCTTCACTGAAAGCAAACAAAAAAAAAAACCACCAACCAAATTACTGAGCAATTATTAGCAGYTCATTTTACTGTCAAACTGCCTAACTTGACCATTTGGCTGCTGAGAAAAGAGTAATAAATGCAGACAAACCTCTTTATCACCATTAATTATGTAATAAAATGTCTGTGAGAGACACTACCAGCAAATTGTGTTTTCTCACCTTAAAAGAAATTACTATTTTCACTACCTGTATGCATAYGTATATGGATCATGTTTAAACCTGAACAGGACAAGGTCTGCAGTTCAGGAGAGACTGACTTCACTGAGTATTGAAAACTCTATCGTGTCATGGCCACTGTGCCCAAGACAGCTCCAACCACAGCATTTCCCAGCAGCCCTTCTCTGTTTGTAAGCAGTGTAGCCAGCAGGGCTGCTTCCCTGGTAGGCTCACTTTCCAGCTCTGTTGGGAAGTTATCTTCACACATGCCAGAAACCTCCTGGACTCCTTCCTCGCCACTGTGTTGAGCTTCCAGCAGACATCTGTCAGGTTAAAATTTCCCACAAGAACACGGGCTGATCAACATGAAACATCAGCCAGCACAGATTACAGAATAATCCATCCACCTCCTCATCCTGGTTGGGTGGTATACAGCAGATTCCRCCCAGGATATCTGCCTTGTCAGCCTTCTCCCTGATTGTCAYCCACAGGCACCCAAACACTGTCCTTGAGCKCTGTGCAGTCAAAATGCTCATGATRTMCACATACARAGCCACAGTTCCCAATGTACAGAGCCCACCCCATCACCTCCCCTTCATTGCCTGTCCCTTCTGAAGAGCTTGTGGCCATCCAGTGCAGCACTCTGGTCATCCCACCATGTTCCTATGGTAGTGACTATYTCATAGCTTTTCTGCTGCACTGTGGCTTCTAGTTCCTTCAGTTTGTGCTGTACTCCATAGCTCTTTTTTTATATTTATCATTTCACTGTATTTTTAGGCCACAGTTACAAATGTCTCGAGATGAATACATTTAAGCTAAAGGAAAAGGTCATTAGCAAAATGCTGCTAAATTTAAAAAAACAAAACAAACCAAAATTTTTTCAAGGATTCATTTATGATGGAAACTGAGAGAGGGCTTTAAAGCAGAACAATAAAGTTCTACACTATGGTTTCAAAACAAACAACAATGCCTTTAAAACAAAGTCTTGATATTGAAATCAGTCAGATAGAAACCCTCTACCACAGTTCTGGGTATTAGAAAGCAGGTCTTTATTACAGCACAAAGGTCACTCGGAAGACCTTTCATCTAATCAAGTGTCTCAAGAGCAGGGTGAACAGAGTTTTTATCTTATACACTGATTACATACTCATTAGCTATCCCCACTTCCTTTGATTATGACATAGTCACACCTTTATCAGAAGTCCTTATACATATATATATATATTTTAAAATATATATTTATTTATATGTATATAAAGAATATATATATTCTTTGGGAGGTCCTTTTTACTTTGCTGTTCCTCGAGCTCTGCTTTTGAGTAAGCGCAACATCGCTGTTGTGCATAACTTCTGCTTTGTCAGCCTTGCAGAGCTGAGCTGGCATCCTGCTTGCTTTTTGCATGATTTCTGTTTGCCGAAGTCACATCCTTGATTTATTTCTCCAAGGTTGTGCTGTTCTGTTCTACTGCCCTTGATAAGACTAAAATGCTGTTCTGTTTTACTGTCCTTATTCAGTTTGGCCAGTCTCTGAATGGTTTGATAAATAGATAAATGAAAAATATAAGAGTTGACACAGTAGCTGAGATCAGCTTTTCCACCACTTAGTTACTCATTTACCCTAGCTAAATTATTCAGAAATGCAACATGTACCATTATGCTTAGCAATACAAATATCCAAAGCCTCCAGAAATGTATGAGACTTCAGACTGTTGAACAGGAGACACAAGGAAGGRAAAAACCCAACCAAATTTCTGTCTGGAATTCACACATAAAAATGTGGTTGTGGAAGGCCAATGATTCATGCAAAGCCAATAGATTGCTTCTGCTTCTTGGAGTGCTAAACCCTGCAGGTAAGAGTGAAGACTGTCCAGTCCTAATGAACTCTTTATATCTACTAAACACTTTACAGTACRATTCCAAGTATCAAAATCAAATCCACATATGCTTTGTTGTTCCATTATAGAGCCAAAAAATGGAAATCAGTAGGATACAAGCTAAAGATCGTAGTTTTATTATACATTTAAGATAGACTTTCATAATGCACTTTCATAAGGCCTTTCAGCTGCTCTGAACACTGCCAGGCTTGTGTGACATTAAGTTTTATACAGCTGGTTGTGACTCATTGAATTTTTGTGCATGATGAGGACGGTCACATTACACTCGGAACCGGAGGTCATAGTTGTAAATGCATTTAATTGTCACAAGATAGAGCCAAGAACATAACAGAGTGTTCTCTACTGAAGCATCACATAATTATCAGGGAATAGAAAGCATCTAAACTTTAAAAAGTCCTACYTTTCAGTACTAAATACTTTAATAAATCTGCTTCTTCCAGCCATAACTTCTCATGTGAAAGCATGTCAAATAGATTCCTTTCGGTACCAGAGCATGCACTGTCACTGGAACTTCACTGAGGTGAGATGAAGGTAGGAGGTTTGCTATGATAATAGCACAGCTCTGAGCCATTTCATAAATGCATATGAAGCAAAATGACCAATGCTCAGTCGGCAGATGCATCATAGTGCATAGCAAGTGTAGATTTATTGCAAAACRCAGCAATTGTTTTGGAATGGCTTTTACACAGAGGGTAATTCCATAGAGCACATGAGATTACTTTACTACAGATACGACAGTCAATTTCACTATGCAGACAAGTTTCCTTAATCTTTATAAAGTCATCCTTCAAAAAATAACTTCTATTTAAGGTCTACAGAGTATTTYATCATACCCTACTGTTTCTGTTAATCGTATTAATTAGTTTCAGCTTCACTACCTAACAGAATAGTTTACTGATCCCAACAATAAGCTCTTCTGTAATTTAAAAGGCAAGCTTGACATGAATTTCTTGTTAGAACGCTGGAAAACAATTTTTSAAGTTTTCTTGATGGTACTTTTAACAGAAAAAGCACCCTCACTTMCAGTAATTTCCCACAGTAATGAAAAATTTTCCAATTTCTTATCAATTTGTAGTTCATGTGACAAGTATGAATTGAGCATAGCCTCACTCTTGCCTGAAAAAGTCAAATTCCTCAATACAGAATGCTTGATGTAAGTACATCCCTACCCTATTTAGAATTATTCACATTCCACTCTATTAGCTATCAAAAGAATCTATTCTGTGCTTTCTCTCCACATTTTCTTGATGCATTTTACAGTTTCACTCTAGTGGGATTAAAGTATATGCGCAAAGCACTACATATAACAATTTTTAATCAGTATAGGGAGTTTCGTCTTTGAAGTTGAGCAAAAAAAAATACCCATGATCTATTGACAAAAAATTAAATGTACCAAATGGTACTTTGGACATAATAGAAAGAGGGTAACCATATAATTTCCCTCTCAGCTAGTTTAAGCACAGGTCTACCAGAAAAACAAAGATAAAGACCCTTAAAATGAGCTCTGATTCTGGCAATCTTGAGGAATTCAAGTCTTTCTACACGAGCTATGGCAAAAAAAATACAGGCTTTGGAAAGATTAGGAAGCAATTGTAACTTATGAGGTATTTAAATAACCTTAGCCATTAAACSACACAAAAGAAAAAGATTTATAGGCAGACTAAAGAAGAGACAAAGCTTAAAATGCAAGTTTGGTTTAATAGTTAAATTGTATTTTTTTTTAATCAAGCAGATCTAGAAATGACAGTATGTCATCTTAGACTGTCTCTTTGTACATGTTGAGAGTGGATTTAAAGCATAGATGGTGCAATATCAAACTAAAAATGAATTTAATTACATTTTTAACGGCTAACCCCATGGCTTGCAGAAATTTGTTAAACGAGACACCCAGATACGTTTCTTGGCAGCTTTTCTTTGCTATGGCCTCACCCTGGTAGGATGTGCTCAGGAGATATCACACCTATCTGAGAGGCAGAGAAAACCAGCTGCATATCTTGGTAGAAAGCCTTCATCACTGAGCCATGTTTAAAGGCTCTGATGAAGCTGTTAACAAAAAAATTAGCCTGTAGTTATGATCCATGGACAACTTTATTGTGTGTATTGTGAAAAAATTGAAGAGGAGGAACATCTCAATTGAATATCTCACTCAAAGATTGAAAAAGCAAAATAAAATGTCTAAACTTAAATGCTCTCAACATCAAAAACTAAGGCTTTCTAATTTCCATTTAAATGATCTTGGATACAGCTGCTTTTTAAAAATTCATCAAAATGTGTTTCAACCCTACAGACTGCATCGAATAAACACATGCTGCAGGTCACATAGTCCTTTGGTATATTTATTTCCTGTATACAATTTCAGGAAAGCATCATTTCCCACATGATGGAAGCAGGTATCTGTACAAACAGGTGTGTCTGTGTTTTCTTCATACTGTGGGACAAAGTCCAGTGATAATATCCTTTTTCCTCATTTATGTTTTCATATACTTTCGGTTACCAAATGCTATCCTAAGCAGCTCCCAGTAAGGCAGCTTTGAAATMCAACTAGGCATGGTAAGTGTTTTAAAAGCAAGTCAAGCCAAACATATCTATGTGATGAACCATTTACGTATGATGATGAAGATATGGCTACTAAAATACAGGATCTCAGAGTACTTTAAAAGTGGTTTAAGTATGTCTACATAACCGTACAACCATCCAGGTTATCAGAGGTTTACCAGTCATTTGCTGGTAACAGAAGTAGCTGTGTCTAGTAACTCATAACAGTTTTTTGCTTTTGTTGCCAAAGTATCCCCATTTCTAATATTTGTTTAGCATCCTCCTCTCTGTTCTATCTCTCAACTCACAAACCATAAAAACTGTCAGAACCYGAGTCCTTTGCATCTCTGCAATCAAACCACTAAAACTGAGCAGCAGCACTTCATCAAAATATTTGGGCCTCTTTATCTGTCTAACTACCCAATGGAAACACATGTCCAATGGTGCAAGTTACACAACAACTCATCGTTAGTGTGAACATTTAAACAGTTTTCCTTATTTTTCTCAATTAGTCCTCAAGAACATATTAGAAAGCAGTAGACTTCAGTTTTAGATGTAGGGTAGAACTCAGACTGGCCCAATATGCTTAAGGTTTTACTTTTTTAATACTTTGGACCACTTATTTGGGCTGTTATCCAAATACTATTGGAATATAATGGTAAGCTTTTGAAATTAAAGAGTGGATAGTACTCTCCATTAGCATCACAAGCTATAGAATAATCGCCATTAGCATCACAAGCAACCAAGCAATTTGTAAATGAACCCGTTCAGACTGTAGCAGCAGAGTGCATACAGGTCATCAGCACCTAACACACTTCCTAGCTCAATGAGAAACCACAGCAACTGCTCTCAGAATGTGGGGTCTACACCCTGCAATAAGTGTATTAGCAAGGGAAGTGCATAAAACTGACTAACAACTTGCTGCAAAAAAGGTTAAACTGAACAGCTGTACTTAGAAATAGCCTCCATCTAAGAAAAAAAAAATGCAGTTTGAAACATACCATCTTTCTTGAAATGCTCTGCATTTCTGAAACTTCATAGCCAAAATTAGCTGATACAATGGAGCAACTTCTGTTTGGCTTCTCAATCATCACCACAGAGAATGCTATGTGTCTGTGAAGACCTTAGTAAACTACCTACACTGCCAGTTTAGAAGCAGCTGTTCAGCCCCGTRGCCCAGTGACCAGCTTGAGCCACAACTGCTTGCCAGAGCTAGGCTTACAATGAGCCACAAGCCCTTCTAACCATGGCCATCTCACTGGGAGCCAGTATCACAGCCAAGTCAAACAGCCAACRAAATATTGCTGAAGCCACATGGTACAAAGGACTAAGCTGGAAGCATTGTGCCACCAGGATCTGGTTCCAGCCCAGGAAGACAGGGCTGTTCTACCCCTCACAGCTAAGTCACAGGACAGAGCACAGAGAGCACGTGATGGACGCACAACCTTCATACTGAACCCTCCAGCTGCAGGTGCAGCAGTACCTGCACTAGGTAAGCATCTCTGTTGCTGGATTTCCAAAGTGGAGTTGAAAAGCCAGAAAAAAAGATTACTTTGAGTGGCTTCCCTTATGGTTTCACTCTATTCAGAACCACGTGGGTCAGTGCAGGGCACATTTGGTTTCCCCATCCCCAGAGCATATTTGCATAGAGCTGTTTAAACTCTGTCTGGATGAAGGTTCTCGATGAATTCCATTATAGCAGCTTCCAATAACACCTCGTTTTTCAAAAGCAACATGTTATATAAAGTCCTGAGGAGCTAGAAGAGAAAGGGATGAAAGGAATGSCACAATGTGAAGCACAAAATGACAAAGGCACTTTTCCACCCCCTCGACTACTAYCATGTGCAAATGAAGGCAAGCACCTTTGCAATTCAAATCCACCCACTGTACAGAGACACCTGTACTTCACTCAAAGTCACTTCCAGAAATAAACACCTAAATTAATCCAAGSTAAACTCTGACCAATTCAACACAGTTACAAAGTAACTCTGGACCAGGAATAACCTGCAATCCAGGGAGTTACTCCTGATTTAAATGAGTAGCTCCTACAATATGCAGAGCAGTTATGTTCAGATCTGACCAAACCACTTTTTTGCCTGGCATTTTTCTCCCTCCTTAATGAATCCTGAACACTGCTGGAAGTGTTTCRCTATGGCTACTGAACCAGAGGTATGGGCTGAGGGATATTTTGGGGTCTGAGAGGTAGGTAGAGACTGTTCATCAAAGATGAAGCAGGACACGTAAGAGGCCACAATGAAGGCAAAGCTCAAATGATAGCCTGTTTGGAGTTCCAGATGAATTATTTGTACCCAAACAAGTGGAAAAATACTGCGCCTTGCTGGGTAAGCACCTGTTTCAGTGCCACTCTTGCTGCACTGTTAGGTTCTCCTTCAGCTGCAAACTTCTGCAAAAAGTTTACTTAACCTCAGCTTGCTTCGGGGTATTCCACGTAGAGGTCAACCAACTTCACCTGCTGGTGTAACTAATTTCCACTAATTGCTTTTCAACCCAGACCACTCAAAAGGGAAAAAAAGTCATTATAGTAATTACTTTTAACAATGCTGCCATCACATGTTGGTACCCCTGCTCCCCCCACCCCCAAACAAAAAGGGAAAAGCACCTGAGGTACACCTTGGGAGTACCTAGCTGTAAAGAATATGCAACCTTTGCTTTTTACTTCTAACATGGGTAATGAATCTACCTACTGATATGACTCCRAACTAGTCCACGTAATGCCATCATGAAGCAGCATTCCAATGCTCTCAACCAGCAAGAAAGAATACTGTATTATTTGGTACAATCCTAAATTGTCACAATCCAGGCACAATAATACAGTTCTGGCTGAACATATTTTAGACAAATAAAAGTGCATTTTACCTTGAGACATAGCAAGGATTTCATATTTGATATTTCTGTGCACCAGCCTAAGAAAGATTTGAAGAGATTGCTACAGATAGCCAGCTTTTAGTGCCACACAACAGGCAATGTTGTCAACAAGTGCTCTTTATAGAGAGGGTCTTTGTTACAGCCAAGATGATTCACTATGCCATATACTACTGCTTACTACCCAGCTATGCAAAAAAAMCACCAAAACTACACTGCTTTAGCCATTACTTTCATTTGTCTAACTTTCTTCAAAATATTTATTTTTTATAAGAAACTGTCCGGAAAGGTACTACTAAAGTTTTTCCCTTCGATTTTACTTTACTGCAATCAGTCTCTTCTTTTTGCTTTTGTTTCAAGCCAGAATCGATGTGTCCCAGCTCTTCCTTAATACCATCACAAAAGAAGAAAATCTCATTTCTGTGTGTACATGCATGTGGGTCTCACAGGAAAGAAGGCACATGGCTATGCTATGGACTACAAACCATTTTATGTTACTTGTTCCTTTAAAACTATGTTTAAAAAGAAAGAGAATAAATTTTCTTTCCCAAACTGGATTATGTAATAAAACAGTTTTAGCATGTGGGTTCCATTTAGTTTCCGTGAACAAAACACATAGCACACATATCACAGAAGCCTCCATCACTGTCATAGGAAGACATTTTTCTCACCAAGAAACCTTTGTTACATGAAATGCAAAATTCTCACCTTTGAGCTGGATTTTTTAAACAAAATTTTTTGATTATAGTATATGAAAACACATGTGTACAGTTACCTTCTCTGTATCTACCTAATCTACAAGAGAAAGACTACTAACCTGTGCAAAAACCCTATCATCAACATCAAAACAAGGATATAAATGACCTCAACTACTAGAAACTAGACAATGCAATGTAAAACCTTCATTTCACAGAAGGTTTTTTTTTCTGAAGAATATCCCAGTTCAGTGAAAACCAGGAGAAATTTACATGAGGAAATACCAAAATTTATAGTGCCTGCAATTATTATGTATATTGTTAATTTAACTTGTCTTAGAGACACCAGTAGATACTAAAGATTATAAATTATTCTGAACAGTTTATGAAGTAGCATTTAGACTGTACATGAACAAAACTTTGAAAAACTGATGGAAATCATTCCCAAATCCAGGAAATACTACATACATAGCATGTCCTTACTTCACTTACATGAAATGAATGCATTTAGCATTTCTGAGAACCGAGCCAACACTGAACAAAGTAAGTCATCGTGGCTTTGAAATACAAGTTTCTCCAAAACTGTCTTCATCTCTTGGTAGCATATGTAACTTGGAAAGGACACATGGCACTGTACTTCTTCTGAACACCAAAAATCAGTGTGACCTTGATTTCTCTTATCAGCACAACTGTATTGTTACAATTTCTACGCCATCAACTTGGCCGTGATACAAGCTGAGGGGGCAAACCAGTAAAGGTACACAACCTGTAATCAGCATAGCTTGTAGGAGTTGAGTGCTGTCACAGACTAGAGTCCTGGAGAGAATTTTGGAGTGTAAATGTAATGCAACACTTTAGTATAAATTTTTATGTTATACTTTAAACTGCAGGATTTGTATTTTCATAAATTTTTAAAATCCCTCAAYAAAATGTCATGTATTATCCCCCATTTTTAGAAGCTAGACTGTAATTAAACAAATGTGTATGTTGGATCCACAAATTGCTTTGAGTCCTAATTGACAGCTCCTTAACTGAGTGCCAAAATAACTTTCCCACTCCGTAAACACTAAGTCTCGATTCTTCAGAWGAAGTGTGCCTTTTCCAGTTCTCTCTCTGCCTTTGTTTTCAATGACAACGTGAAGACCGGATAATTTTCAAGTTTCAGATGTTAGAACTGGAAAACAATCCTGGTTCAAAATACCTAGGTAAGTGTTTAATTATTAAATTCTATTGAAGAGAAATGGAATATGCTTGTTCTTACCTTGGTAGAAAGACACTTTCCACTACATAGAAGTCYTGCATAAGAACATCTCTGTCTGGTTTTGATGTAAGGCTTCCTACTGTGTATCCTATTCCCAACTGGATAGCGCCTTTAATAGCTGAGGATGCAGTCTGTGTAGAAAGTAAGAATTCATGCATGAGTTTGCTAAAAGCAGATTTATGCTCCTTATAAGTAATATTATAGCTAAACTATTTGATCATTTTCGTAATAACAACATCTTTTCGTAATAACAACATCCTGTCATCTTTAACATCCTAGAACACAATGAAATAACTGATTTTTAATTAAAACGTTTAAAAAATCACTATACAGTAGCAAAATCTACAAAAATCAATTATCTGGTTTTACAAACTGAAACTGCCCAAATAATTTAGACATTGGGTTCTAACCCTGCAAAGTATCACAGAATGGCAGATTTGAAGGGAGCTCAAGAGGTTCCACATTTCTTGACAAAACCATGGTCTAAACAAGACAGCCAGGAACCCTGTTAAGCCAAATCTCAAAAATGCCCTGTGTTGGGGAACCCACCAATTTTGGGGAGAGTAGTCCACTGGCTGATTGTTTTCACTGTGAAATATTTCCACTTGTGTTCAAGTGAAATACCCCCAGGACTAACTTTAAMCCATTATCACTCATATTTTCCGTGTGACTCCTTGTAGAAATGGAGTCTCTGCCTCCTTTGTAGCCACTTTCAAATACTGAAACGTAGTGATAAGCTTCCCCTCAACCYTCTTTTTTCAAGACTGAACAAATGCAGCTCTTGAAGCCTCTCCTCACATATCAGGCTTCCTAGTCCTTTGATCATCTCTGTGGCCCTTCTATTCACCCTCTCAAGCCTGCCCATATCTTTTTTGAAGAGTGGGGACCAAAACTGACCATGCTATTTCAGATGTGGCCTGACAAATGCTGACAAGAATGGGGTGACCTTTGCTGAGGATGCCCTTGTTGAGGCAGCCCAGGATCTCTCAGGGTTCCTTTGCTGCTGCAGCACTCTGCTCACTCATATCAAGCCTGTGGCTCACTGGGRCTCCCAGCTCCCTTTCCACAAAGCTGCTCCCAGCCTCGTGCTCCAGCCTGTGCTGCACTCCTGGATTATGTTTTCCCAGGCATAAGACCTTACACATGTCCTTGTTGAACCTCATAATATCCTTATTTKCCCACTCTCCCAGCCCACACAGGCTTTCCTGCAGGGTGGCTCTCCCTTCCAAAGTTCATTTGAACYCTGAGTGATGGCAACTGCTCTGSATKACCACTTTTGAGGACATGGAGCAGTGATGGGCCCAATTCCTGSGGAACCCCACTTGTGCCAGGTTGGAAAAGGAGCCATTTACCCCCACTCTGGGTGCTGCCTGTGTGTCAGCTCCCCACCCACCACATGGACAAYTTGTCCAGACTGTAAATCCACAGCTYCACCAGGAGGCTGTGGGAAACCACCGAGAGARCCTTGGAGAGACACAGGTAGGCAATGTCCACGGCCTGCCCCACATCAGCCAAGCAGGTAGGTGACTGCTGCGGAAGGCAATCAGGTGTGTCAAGCACAATTTGCCCTTGGTGAATCTGTGCTGGCATTTCCTAATCACGTGCTTTGTCTGACTTGCCATGCCTCACAGGAGGATTCTTTCCATAACATCTTCCTTTGCCTTAAGTACCAACCTTTAGAGTGCACAGCCGGACCCCAAACTCCACAATATTGTGATGGCTTCAGCCATCAGTAACTGAGGTRTTACAGAGCTGTTTCTTGGTTRGTGAGCACCAAGTCCAGTTGTGCCTCATTCCTGGTTAGCACAGCTAACATTTTATGAGGGAACAGTCCTCTACGCATTCCWGGAGCCTGATGGATGATGTGACCTGCAGTATTGCTCTACCAACAATGTCTGGATGGTTGAAGTCACCTTAAAGACCCAAGATCTGTTATGTAAARCTGGCTTAAGTGACCCAAATATTGCTTCCTTGCCCAAATCCTCTTGGTTTGGAGGTCGGTACAGATGCCTTATCTAAGATCCCCCTTGGAGATGTCCCTTCTGATCCTGACCCAGAGCATTTGATAGGGCTTCCATACTCACTGCAGTTGACTACCACATGTTCAAGATTCACTTTAATACAGGGCACAAATCCTCCTCCTCCTCTACTTTCCTGCCTGTCTTGACAAAACCTACAGCCATCCTTTGTGATCCTCTTAAGACATTTCCAGACTAACTATACATTCAAATTGCTTCCAAAGTTTCAAGCAGCATGCATTATAATCTGGAAAAAACCAGTCACGAATTCCAGGTGATTGGAATGTCAAAGCATCACAATGCAAGTTTATGGCTTAAATGCTGATTCTAGACGCAAATGTATTTATTACATTCTGCCTAACAGTCAGTGCAAGAGGTACATTGACTGTAGGAAACCCAGAGAAAAATTAAATTGATAGGGAAAGCAAAATCTCTCCATAAAATCTAYCCTTATAAGTGTAATGACTAAATTAAATGGCCCGAGCTCATAGGACAGAGAAGGCTTCAAACCAACTGCATGAAATTATCATACTATGCATGTGTGAATTGAGACCRTGTTGGAAACCTTCCCATGCTGAATAGACAGTCTTGCTGCAAGGATTAAAACAAATGGCAGAACTGAGTCAAAATTAGAGACTAGTCAAGAAAGGAATTTTCATGAAAAGATGGAAAGCRTGAATAAAGAGAACCATTGCACAGGGAAAGCAGGAAGGAAGTATCTTCCCTTGCATAATCACCAGGTTTGACAACATTTTTGGTCACTGTTTTTAGATTTTACCTCCTACCCACCGAAAAAGCAAGAGACTAAGAGCAGAAGCAAAGAACACCAGAAGTTTCATGATCTGAACCACTTCAGCACTTGAACAGAACCATTTCAGAAGTGGAAATTACTTAAGAACTGGTTCAAGAACACAAAGCTAATTTGCTTGAAACAGTATATACTCGAGTGGCTGCTTATTTTTAGAAAAGACATAGATGTGTAGTTCTTAAATAATTAAGACTGCACACAAGCAGAACTTATACTTGCATAACAGTTTAGAACAGGCAATTCAGTGGGAACAAACAACACTCCATTCTGAAACTGCTACTTCRACTACTAAAAAGATTTGGCTTTGTGTCATAAGAAGAGTCACATTTTTCTTTCCTTGAAAGGCTTCTATTCATGAATGATTAATGCTCAACAAAAGCTGTAATTATGTAACTTTGATCAAACCAATACACATAGAAATAGTTTCTGCTTCATTGCTGGATTCCCATCTTGTTCRCTGCCACAGCAAGTAACTGTCTGAAAGAACAGCAGACAGTACAGTACAACGAAAGACATACCAATAAACGCTAAGAAAACCCACCRAACTCCAAAAAAGCCCAAGACAGGTAACCTGGCAATGTGATTTCAAAAAGAAAACTCTGGGTCATCTTTCAAGCTCATTAAAAAAAAGAAATCTGTAGTGTTTTTTTTTTCAAATTCAAAAGAAGAGCTATAGACATGACTGAATACATGGCCTACTACAATGACACAGACCTTTCCCACAARGCTACCTCCTTGTTAATCTCTGCTCCTGTTCAAGTGTGTCATTAGTAACCACCCTTCATCTCTGCAGCAAACAGAGCAGTTGGTTTAGCAGAGAAACAATGTTATGAAATTATTGAGGACACTTTAATAACTTCTTTGAAACAAATTGATAGTGGCTACAGTACGCTGAAGGCAACTGCTAGCCCAAACTCAATTCTTTGTCAATCACTAYTAACACCAAAGGTTGGTCATCCAGCATCCCCTCAGCAACTGACAAGTTTTTGTTTTCACAATCCATAAAATAAAAACAAAACAAGCCTTGGAAATTATCTTTAAGACATCACTTAATTTTTTTTATCATTAAATACAAGGAAACGATAAAAAAGCTATTTCTCAAGCCTTGGGGAGATGTCCTTGAAATATCCATTTTATTACTATGGAAATGTATTTAGTGGAAAGTGCAAATGCATCTGGAAAAATTGAAGCACCTTCTGGCAATTTTCCTTATTCAGGCACCTCTTTTAATGCCCRTGAAGGCAGCAAAACCTAGTTTCACACCTAAGTCCCTTATTTCAATTTGTCTTGAATACTCGCCTGCTATAGAGCAAACAATAACATCCAGCACCCTACTGTGCCACGGGTTTTTTCAGTCTTTTAGAGACTGAAATAAACTTTTCTTCCTATTAGACTCATGAAGAGGTTCAGAAAATGGCCCTAAGACCATTTATCATCTCTAACAGTGAAGCTGAGTGTGCACAGTGACAGTATAGTGATCATTTAGCCTATTATCAGCCTTCTGAAGATCAAGAAATATTAAGGGATGAGAATAASCATCAGGATAAACAAGAATTTTAGGTTATGAAAGTGATTGAATTTGTAGCAAATGGTGCACACGCTGATAACTGTCTTTGTTACATAAAGGGGCACAACAAAGTAAACTTCTCCCATCCTCATTGTGCTGTTTAGAATATTACTGTCTACTGCACAGGTGCTTTGATATTTTTATCCCTGCATAAAAACCTTAAGCTGTCTTTATTATGATGAAACACACCTTTGCCTCTTTCTGTCAAAAATAACTATATATTTTTTCTACATTTGTCATGTTTGTTTGCTAAAAGAGTTTGTAGATACAAAAAAATACATGCAGACTCAAAGAATAACAAGTTACAGGATGAAACACTATACAATATAGAACACAGACAGGTATATGGAATATTTGCATCACTGATAACTATTTTAGCACTCAATACACTGTTCTCTTATTTTCTCTGCAGATGGGTCTTCGACTTGCTCTACATTGCTCTAAGCTGAAATCCTTTTTCGGAGTAGCAAAATTGATGAGAATTTAAAATCCWCTCAAATCAGGTCTTAAGTTTGCACATGACCCCACAAATAAACTAAGCAGGATTTAGACATTGTTTTTCCTACAAATAATCACTTTTACAGGTAGCCCTGTAAAACTTTAAGTCATTATTTTCATAAAATAAAGGTGTTAATCAGACACACATAAYGCATATAAAGGCAGTTCACAATCACATAACCAAAAAAAAATAAACTAACTGAAACTAGCTAACAATTGTGCAAGTTAGGGACAAGACTA